GGGCTGGTGTCCGAGGATGTGGTGCTACTAAGGCCTGCTGTGCTGGGGTTCACCAGGGCCACACCTGTCAGTGCTCAGGAATCCCCCATGGTACTGAGATTGCTCTTGGGTCAAGCACAGGCAAGGCTCCCCATATTAAATCCCCAACCCTGCTTTACTTTTGTTTGTGTGTGTGTCATTCCTGATGGTGCTCTGGGCTTACCCCCGGCTCTGTGCTCAGGGATCACTCCTAGTGGTCCTGGGAGGAGCATATGTGATTGAACCCAGATTGGCTGTGTGCATGGTAAACACCCTACCTATATACTATCACTCTGGGACGCCCACTTTGCTTTTAACTGAACTGGATTCTCATAGTATCAGTTCGGTTTTGGTTTTTAATTCTGAAGTAGACTGAAATCTTTGTAACATGATTATATTTCTTAACAGATTATTTCAAGAATGGTTTATTGTCTCTCCAGCTTGCCTCAGTATACTTTGTTTTTCTAATTAATGATAAAATTGTTCTTAGAGGCAACCAAGAATCCTGTAAGGAGACTAGAGAGATAACCTTATTACATACTTGAAATTTAGCTTATTTTCAGAAAATGAACCAGTTCCACCCAAGTGAACTTTTCAGATGCTTAAAACCCACACTTTTCATTTTATATATTCTTTTCCTTCCTTCAGAGAACTTCTTGGAAGCACCAAACGTGCTGCTAAGGGCTCTGAACAGACAAGACACAGCTTTCTTTCTTGAATAATCTGCACGGTAGTTACACATTAACGTGATAAATGCTATATTAAAAATAAGGTCAAAATGCATAGAAGTCAGCAACTGCAGCATGAATCAGGCACATACTTGCTATTGGAGGGATGAATATTAATTAGTCTGATGGAATAGAGAAAATGAAATGGGAAACTTAGGGAACTGGACAAGGATGTCTGAAGAAAATGAGCAGCTTATAATTGAAAGAGTACGAATCTTTGGAAGTGCTACAAGTTGCGCTGAGTGACGAGAGCATAAAATTGGAGACAGTGGTAAGAAAAATAAGGCAAAGGGTCTACGACAGAGGGTCTCAGATGTCATGTTTGTGTATTACGCTTTGGGGGCCTTGTCAGAGAGGATTAGGTAAATGAGTGGTTATTTTCACAGCACTGTGGACGATGAATTCGGTAGCCAGACGGCTAGGTGGGGAGTTCATTTCAGTATTCTAAGCTAGAGGTAAGAACAGTGATGAGCACTGCCAGGCTTAATTCCTTGAGTGCAGAGCCAGAAGTAACCCCTGAATATTGTCAGGTCAAGCCCAAAAAAACAAACAAATGAAAACAGAGAGAGAGAGAGAGAGAAATGGAGTGGTGCAAGAAAAAAGCAGTGGAAAAGAGGTGACTGGAGAGATAATGAAGCATAGACTTTAACACTCGTACCTAAAATTATAAAAATATTTACAGAAATAACTATAATTAAAACCACAGTTTATGTTCCTTACCAAACAGTACCTACTTCCCAAGTATCTTGGGGGATGCATTGCTGTGGATTAAAGAATGGTTCAGTCCGTAATCACTGCAAAGGAATAAATAGTGCGTGCATATAAAGAGGAAGTCCTGAATAGGCCCAGTATCTCACACCCTTGGGCTCTCCAAAATAGAGTCGAATAAGCTAAAACCAACATTCACTTATTATTCAGATTATTCCATTTTAAATTATTCAGTTTAAAATTATTCAAAATGTTGCTTTTTCCACTGATACAACCCTGGTAACTGATTCACAGCAGCCAGCTAGCTCTTCTGCCAGTGCTGCAAAATTGTCTGATTCCCCAGCAGAGCGCAGCTGGTAGTGTGCGTTCCCTCTGACAGACATCGTAGTGACACAGACCTGCAGACAGCCATTTCATCTGACTAAGCTGGCGGTCCCATAAATGTGACTGTCACTTGGAAAGGCCACAGATATATTTTTTACCTACTAATATGTCATCGCAGACAAACCTTTACTCATTCTTTCAGCTTGCCACATCACTGCAGCAGGAATAGGGGTTATTTTCTACCTCATTAGATTATGTGTGTACCTCAAAAAGTTCTTAGTAATTCAAATTAATTTCTATTGGAATCTGACCATTTTTCTCATTTTCCTAGGGCTGCTGGCAAACTGCTGGTAAGCACCCCCTTTTCTCAGAGGAGAATATTGTAGAAGTGGCTTAGATGTGTCACTTCAGACCTCCTTGCCTAATAATGTCCTCCCTATAAATACTGTTTCCAAAATAATGTGGCTGAAAATAAAACAAGCATGTTCAAATGTCAGGTAACAAGTTTATACAACCCCTTAGTCATGATGGCAGTTCCAGAAGGAGATAGGAAACATCCAAAACACAGTATTATAGGTCTTAAAAATAACAGGAGCTTGGGAGAAACTGGGAAACAGTCCAAAAGACTTGTAGACAATAACAGCCTCTCTTAATTGGAGTAAATTAATAAGATAGTAATTCTTTTATTAATAATCACTAAAATGTAAGCAAAATAAGTAACCAGTTGTTAATACCTTGACTTGGAAAATAGTATCCAACAGTAGTTGTCAGAGATATATCTGGATTGCTGTGTTTTTCTTAGCGTCATAGGACCCCGTCACATACTTTCTGCTAATAATCCATGAGAAAACATAGTGTCTTTCAATGATTCCAAGATTTTTTAATTGAATTTCCTAAATAACTTTTTTCCCTTCATTAAATTTAAATCATTTTGGAGGGCTGGAGCGATAGCACAGCGGATAGGGTGTTTGCCTTGCAAGGGGCCGACCCAGGTTCAATTCCCAGCATCCCATATGGTCCCCTGAACACCACCAGGAGTGATTCCTGAGTGCAGAGCCAGGAGTAACCCCTGAGTATCGCTGGGTATGACCCCCCCCAAAAAAAAAGCAAAAAAAAAAATTAAAATCATTTTTTCACATTTAATCCAGTCCTGTTGCATGCAAGCCCCCAGTCAACATTCTTGTAACTGCCACTGTGGTCCTGTCAGCGATGGCAGAATTTTCTTTGCGTTTTATATGCCAGAAATCAGGCACCTCTACATTTTTGAACTACTAACCACAGTTGACTACTTAAATCAGAAAGTTAATTAAAATTAGGGGCCAAAGAAATAGTACAGGGTTCAAGGCACTTTCCTTACATACAACCAACCCTGTTTAAATTGCTGGATGTGTCCCTACACACACACACACACACACACACACACACACACACACACACACACACACACACACACGCTTCTAAAATAAATAATGTAATATTTATTTTCTCAGTTGCACTGAGCACATTGTATACGTGGGGCCGGAGAGATAGTACAGTAGGTAGGGCACTTGTCTTGCATGCTACCACATGGCCTCCCAAGAACTGCTGGTTGCAGTCATGAAGCACCTGCAACCCCCACTTCCATCAGGATGGTCCAGGTGGCCCCCAGCACTGGCAGCGCCTGAGCATCATTGCATTTCTGGGACATCAGCCCACTGGCCCACATATTACCATGAGTGGACACCAGACCCCCTAAGCCCCACTTGCGGGGCAAACTTCCCCTAAGAAAGAAAGGCCCATCATAGTAAATACTGACTGATAAATGCGGGTGAGATGGTAAAGTTGAATTACCTTTGCACCGTTTTGTAGCCAGCACCATAAAAATTGTTTGAGCAATAATTATCAATGGATGCTAAATATAAAAGCGAGATTTTGACAAGGAGTAGGATGATTTCATTGACTTGGGGGAATGTACTAAAAAAATGGGAAAGGGGGCAGATAGGTATCTGGACGTTGCATGTTGAGAACTTTGAACATCACTTACATTATATTTGTGTTAAGTTGAATACCTGAATCTGAATTTAATTATGAGGGCACATCAAACCAAAGCAAAGTTGAAAACTCTTATTGAAGACGAAGAATTACTGTATTACTTAAAATGCCAGTATCAGAGAGTGGAGAGAGTACTCACAGGGACGTGCTGATGGGGGGGCGTAAGGCAGTTGCCTAGCATGTTCGGACCTTGATTTTATCTCTGACACCACAAAGTCCCTCAAGTACCACTGGGAATTACCCCAACCACAGAGCCAGGAGTAGTCCCTGAGCAATGCTGGATATGGCCCACCCCCCCCCAAAAAAAAGAAAAATGTGAATGTCAGTATCATAAACAATGTAGTAGAGAGGAAGAGGGAAAAAGCTGAGAACTATTTCAGCTTTCAGGAAACTTAAGAGATAAAACAACTACATGGGTCTAGAAGTGAGAAGAATAGGAAACATAGAGCATAGTTAAAGAGTTACTAAGAGTAGTATATGAATAGATGATTAGATAGTATTAATGCTGATTTTTTTTGTTAAATTTCCAGTTTGGTAACTATACTAAAGATAAGTAAGATGAATCCTTTTTTCCTTAGGAAACACACACTGAAGTATTAAAATATTAAAGGTCATGAAGTTAAAGATCATGACACCAACAACTTCTGTTCAACTAGTTTAAGAAAATAGCTTGTGTACTAATTTGTGGAATATAAAATATTATGAGACTTAACACCCAAGGGCAGTAGAGACAAAGGAAGATTGCTCCACAGCTGGAAGCCTGCCTTATGCGCTGGGGGAGAAGGCAGCTGGGATAGAGAAGGGACCACTAAGTCAATGATGGTTGGAGGGATTGCTCGGGATGGGAGATGGGTGCTGAAAGTAGATACACGACCAAGTATGATGGCCTCTCAGTATCTGTATTGCAAACCATATTGCCCATAAGTAGAGAGAGAATAAGAGGGAAATTGTCTGCCATGGAGGAAGAGGGAGGGGGAGGTCAGGAGTGTGGGGTGCGATACTGGGGATAGTGGATATTCAGTTTAAAAAAATAGCTTGTGAGTGGAGAGGAAAAAACAAATGAAACACATTTACAGTTGCTGGGTTTGTGTATGGCTATGTAGGCATTCTCTGTTAAGTCAGAAATTTTCTGTAAGTTTAAGTTTTAAAGGAAAAATGTTTTAATTCCCTTTGATTCTTTTCTTTTTCTAGCCCTTTCTAAGGCTCAAACCGATGTGATAACAATGAAGGTGCAATCAGACAGACTTTCGAAGGAGTATGACCGACTCCTGAAAGAACACATGGACCTTCAGGTGAGCAGCGTGGGTCCCCAGATTTCAAAATACTAATTACTGCCCAAGTCAGCTATTTCAGTTTATTTGTTCTTCCCAAATCAAAACTGATTTTGTTCATTAAGAAAGCCATGTTTTTACCTAGAAAGCAAAGAACATGGCTTAAAACACTTCATAACAGGAATAAATGGCATGTCAATCTGTAGCAGTATTGCTTCATTTAAAGTGTGAAGCAGAAGAATTAAATCTCAGAAGATGGGTGGCATTTCAAAAGACTGATTCTGCAGAAAATTCATCTTACCATTTAAAACATGGCTTCATTCATGCCCAAAGCATACTGCCATCACACACCGCTCCTTCTGTCCCACTGATTGGTCCATCACCTTCACACAAAGCTTTAGGCAAATGGGATTTGAAGGCTTACTTGAAAAGATGAAAATGGGGGGTGAGGGGGAACTGCAGTTAAAGCTGCAATGTCAGGAGCCCGAGGTTTTCCTTTTTTTTTTTTTTTTCCTTTTCCTCCACTTCAACAAGTGAGAATTGTCAGCTCCCATCTCTGTTAGGCTTTCTCTTCCCTCTTAGGCTGCCAGTGCCTCACGTGGCTTGATTTCTCAGCCAAATGTGGGGAGAGGACAGAGAGAGAGAGGGGCCATCCCAGAGCTAGCTCTGGCCTCCCAGCTTCTGCTCTTCTGCTTTCAGTTCAGTCTTATCCTCAGAGTTTGGGCACCTGTGGGACTTTCTCGTAGTTTTGTGAAGGAGAGTTAGTTTCATTTCATCAATTACAGCTGTACCATAATTTTACTAGGCTAGAAACCCTAGTTCCAGGGCTCTCTTCCTTTTGTGCTAATGGTCACTGAATCTCCAGGGTGGAGCATTGTTCCCTGGTATGAGGCAAGCAGGTACTATACTCAGGGATTAGCAGGGCCGTCATCAACAAGCTTCCAATCTTTGTGACCTCAGCCAGGTTTGTCTCCCCTGGGGACTCAGATTCTTATCTGTAAAATGGAAATAGTAATAGCACCTGCCTTCATGGGCGTTGAGGGAATTGATGTGAAGAATGCCTACCATGGGGCATGGCAAACAGGAAACACCCAAGAAAGTGTAAACAATTATGGCCACCATCTTGTCATCATCTTACCAGTTGCTATTTCAAACTTTGTCAAGAGCATGATTTAACTCTGAATCAGCCACTTTGACCTTGATTCAGAGCCAGTCAGGAAAACGTCCAAAAACACATTTGTAATCTGGTGTTCCCAGTTAAACTGCATATTTGATTTAACTGATCTGCTTTTGACAGTCCCACACACACAAAGGGCAACCCAGAGACTGGTAAATAGTGTGCTCCAGCCTCAAGCCCCTGCGAGTTCAGTTTCTGTGGCCTGTGGTAGGCAGTGACATTTTCACTAAGTCCACTCTTCAGCTTCATCCTGAAGTTCCTTAAGGAGCCATCCAAAAAACACATTTGTAATCTGTTATTCCCAGTTAAGCTGTGTATTTGATTTAAGTGATCTGCTTTTAACACTGGCACACATGCACAAACACAAAAGGACAACCCAGAGAAGATTTGCATGACATTCTGCAAGGTATGTCATGGGCAGTGAAGAAATTCGTCACAAGTCTTTGCCTATGACAGAGCTGCATTTCCCCTGCCATTTACAAAATCAGGGCATACTCAACAAGGATGACTGTCCACACTAGCAGACTAGTGTCAGAAGCGTTGAATTCCTTGAGTAGGGAAAGTTAAAGAGCAGAAATGCTCCCTCAGTGTCTTGTGGCCGTTGGCCATTGCTGATTGTCACCATTTGGTAAATTATTGATTCTTTCAGTGCCTGAAGACTCATCTCTGGTAGCAACATACCCTGGACCCACATTCATTCCCTCAAGAAAAGCTCTAGTGAACCTTACAAATTCTTGAAGGACAGAAAAAGCTTTTATCAGTAATTCCGTCAGCCCCAAAAAGAGTTACTTGAAACTTGTTTCTGTGAAAAATAACATTACCACATAAATAATAAGTGTTGAACCTTGTTCACTAGAACATTGAGGCCTTGATCTAATTTCTGTTTATACACAGGTTTTTACAGTATTAAATAGATAACCCTTATGGAAGATGAAGACCAAATAATTGGCCAATACAGAAACCAAATAAGGCTTTATATATGTTGTGTATTTACTCTCAATACTGGCCGGGTTCGATTCCTCCGCCCCTCTCAGAGAGCCTGGCAAGCTACCGAGAGTATCTTGCCCACACGGCAAAGCCTGGCAAGCTACCTGTAAAGTATTTGATATGCCATACACAGTAACAGCAAGTCTTATGACGGAGACATTACAGGACCCGGTCAAGCAAATCGATGAACAACGGGAGGACAGTGCTACAGTGCTACTGTAAACAATTTAAATTAGTGCATTAAAAATACACACACACACACACACACACACACACACACACACACACAAGCCTATATATACAAGCCTAGATATTTATTAAAAGGAATTGGTTTTATGGGTGATGAGAGTATACCTGCTGGACATGGTTTCATGTATAACACTGTAACACTGTCCTCCCGTTGTTCATCAATTTGCTTGAGCAGGCTCTGTAACGTCTCCATTGTGAGATGTTATCAAATATCGAATACGTTATCGCATATCAAATACGTTATCGCATATCAAATACATCACAGGTAGCTTGCCAGGCTTTGCTGTACGGGCGAGATACTCTCGGTAGCTTGCCGGGCTCTCCGAGAGGGACGGAGGAATTGAACCCAGGTTGGCTGGGTAGGCCGCATCGGCTGCGTGCAAGGCAAATGCCCTACCTGCTGTGCTATTGCTACAGCCCAGGTTTCATACATATATGCACATATATTTCGTCATATATATGCATATATATTCACACATATATATGCATACATACATATAGAGAGAGTATTATAGGGCCATATTCAGCTGTGCTCAGGCCTTACTCCCAGCTCAGTGCCCGGGGATCACTACTGGTGGTAGTCAGGGGACCTTATATTTGGTACCAGAGATCAACCTGGGTAGGCCCTGTGCGAGACCAAGAGCCCCACTCCCTGTGTTCTATCTGACTCCTAAATGAAAATATTATAATATCCAGTTTTTTGGATGATTGCAAAACTTGGCTGCTGCATAATGGACCCAAAGCCATTGAACTGGAAAGTGGGATTCAGGGTGAGACAAGCTTGCCCCAGAATCTGCACTTTCCCAGGGTGCTCTTTGCCATGCTCCATCACAGACTTGTGTTCTTGGAGCCGTTCTCTCCCAGCTTCTGTCTCTCTCTGGAGCTACGCTGTCCAGGCTCCCTCGCTCTTGTATGTCTTCTGGGCAGGTTTGGCCAGTTCGAGGCGCCAGTGCAGAGCAGAGCGGCAGCAGGACGATGAGCAGGATCTTCCCCGCTCCTCCTGATATCCGTGGCAGCTGTAGCGGCAAGCAGGCCCTTCTCTGTTGCAATCCCTGCCCCACCTGGCAGCTTCCAGCTGGGTGCCTCCGCTCCCATTCCCTCCAGCCCAGGACTTGGTGATGCTATTCAGCTCTTAACCAGTCCCTGAGGTCTACTCTCTCATCACCCTTAAAACCAATTCCCTCTCTTAATATGTGCTGGAAGATGAAATCAAACCTCATCTCTATTGTTTGCTCTTTCTCTGAATCTCAGGTGAATCATTTAACACCTGAGCAGTAGCCTTGGCAACTTGAGTGAGGATTGTAATACTTTAGGAATGCAAGGCTAGATTCTATGCACAATAATGATGCTTTGTATAATTTTTTAGCAAGGGGAGTTCTCTCTAGCTGCATGTAGTTGTTTCTTGATTGGAATTCTTTTCCCCATCCACTCACTCACCCCTATGACCTTCTTCCCTTCCCCCGCCCCTCATGTCTAGTATAAGAGCCTGTATAAGATTCTCGGAGTTAGGGGACATAAAATGAAACCATTTTATTGAAAGTAATTCTTCCTATTTGTTAACTTTCTGAACCTGACGTGAGAAACAAGATCACTGTGTGACCAATACAGTTTTAAATATAGTGAGAACCTTTATCAAATTCTCTTTTGTGAATTATACTTCTATTTTCAGACTGATCTTAGCTATTGAATCATATCCTAAAATTATTTGGAAACCATAGCTTTCTCAGTTTCAATTTCTCAATTTAACTTTAATCATCAACTAAAATAATGTATTTTAAACAGTGGAAGGGAAAAAAGCTGACTTTGTTTTAACTGTAAATCCCACTTTGCACCTTTGAAAAGGCTTTGGATTTCCCCGTCTTCTTCCCTCCCTGTTAAAAGCACTAAATCAATATTAGAAAATAGCCTCTTTAAAATTTGTAGTCTTCGTTTTTCCTTGTTTGCCTTGGCCCTCTTCAAGAAGAGAAAAAGTAGAAATAAGTAAGGGCTATTGGCAACATAAACCTCATCATCAACCTGCCAATTTAAAAATTTTATTTTGGAAAGTCATCCTTCACTTACAGGACTTGTCCAAAATAAAAAAGCGTCTTTAGAATGGACTTTTGCTAGAACAGTATAGTGACACACTCTGGTCACTTCTATTATTTTACTTATATTGCCCAGGTCTATCTTTTAGACATTTTACTTGGTCTGTATTAAACTTAGCTGATGATTTTTTTAAATAATTAAGTACATTATTTTATTTTTCTTTGTTAAGAAAAAAACTACTTTGTTAAGAGCATCCCACCGGCACGAGCAGAGCCTGGCAAGCTCCCCATGGTGTATTTGATATGCCAAATACAGTAATGACAGCAGGTCTCATTCCCCTGACCCTGAGAGAGCCTCTAATCGATGGGGAAAGACGAGTAAGAAGAGGCTGCTAAAATCTCAGGGCTGGGAGGAATAGAGATGTTACTGGCGCCCGCTCGAGTAATGACAGTGACAGTGACAGACCGTGACATAAGCTTGTGAAATAACTCTTGGCCATTCAGATACCTCCTCAAGTCCTGACTCCTTAGGTGGTTGCTTAGAGCTATTTAGGTTGTACTGGTGGCATTAGTCCTCAGTCAAAACAGGACCCTCAGGGGTAAACTGCCCTTGTAGTAACCTACAGCCCCATTTTAGGAGATATTTTTTTCCTCTCAGAGATTTGTACCACCTTAGTACAAATGATCACTTAAGGTTAAGTTAAAATCATTTCCTTCTAGTTTTAAGTGATGTGTTGTCACCTTTGTATATTTGAGAAGCATATTCTTCTGGCACAGCGGGTAGGGCATTTGCCTTGCATGTTGCCAACCCAGGGACTCGGGTTCAATTCCTTTGCCCCTCACGGAGAGCCCGGCAAGCAACCAAGAGTATCGTGCCTGCACGGCAATGCCTGGCAAGCTCCCTGCGATGTATTTGATATGCAAAAAAACAGTAACAAGTCTCACAATAAAGATGTTTCTGGTGCCTGCTCGAGCAAATCGATGAACAACGGGAGGATAGTGCTACGGTGCTATTCGTCTGGCAAAACCTAAACAACCAAAATAAAAAGTCTCATATGAATTTTTTTTTGTTTAGTTCCATTTATTCTTTTCCTGCCAGAAATATAATTGGATTTACAAGAGAGGGGGTTGGGGATAAAGGGAGAGTATAGTGGGTAGGGTACTTGCCTTGCACACAGCCAACCTGAGTTCAATTCCCAGCACCCCATAAGATCCCCAGAGCCTTCTAGAAGTGACCCTAAGGACAGAGCCAGGAGTAAGCCCTGAGCCCTGCTGGGTATGACCCCAAAACAAAACAAAATGAAACACAAATACAAGAGAGGGGTTTTATAATTTATTCTCTGCTATTAACAGTCAAGATAGATTGTCAGAAGAGCCTTATTAAGAGGTTTTTTACCCTTGACATTTTTTTTGAGTAAAACCTCCAAATTTTGTAGCTTTTTAAACTTCAGACTTCATTAATCTATATTTCACATATGATTGTCCTCATGATTTATAACTAGACACAGAAAATATTAGAGGGCCAGAGGAATAGTACAAGGGGTAGGGCACTTGCTTTGCATGTGGCTGACCAGGATTGAATTCCCAGCACCCCATATTAGCTCCCGCAAGTATCACCAAGAGTGATCCGTGAGCACAGAGCCAGGAGTAATACTGAGTATTGCCAGGCATGGACCAAAAACAAACAAAAAAGATATTTGTTATTCCCCAGACCCACTGGCCCTGGTATCACTAAGTCCCAAGGCCACAGCAGTAGACCTGTACTGCCACACGGGGCAGCTGCAGCTCCAGGAGGGCCCCTGCCCACCTACACCCCCTACCTTCCTCATGCTCTGGAGCCCCACTGAAGAACACATCCCCTCCAAATAAAAAGAAAAGAAAAAAATCCTTGTTATATCTGTGACGCCATGTCTTTCTCTTTTTTCCTTTTTTTTTTTTTTTGGTTTGGGGGGGCTGGAGCAATAGCACAGCAGGTAGGGTGTCTGCCTTGCACGCGGCTGACCCGGGTTCGATTCCTCCACCCCTCTCAGAGAGCCCGGCAAGTACTGAGAGTATCTCACCCGCACTGCAGAGCCTGGCAAGCTCCCTGTGACGTATTCAATATGCCAAAAACAGTAACAACAAGTCTCACAATTTGTTGTTACTGGTGCCCACTCGAGCAAATCGATGAACAATGGGAGAACAGTGACAGTTACATTGGTTTAGGGGGCCATACACAACAATGTTCAGGGGTTACTCCTGGATCTGGACTCAGAAATCACTCCTGCTGATGCTTGGGGGGCCATATGGGGTGCCGAGGATCAAATCTGGGTTGGCCGTTTGATCTTTTTCATTTTTGGATCACACCCAGGAGTGCTCCGAGTTTGCTGGGGGGTTGGGGGAACCATCTCCCATGGGGTGTCAAAAATCAAACCAGCATTGGCCACATGCCAGGCAAAGGCCTTCCCACTGCCTGTACTTTCTGTTCAGCCCTGTGAACCCATTTCTTATTCTCTGATGCAACCACCTACATCATTTTTTTTTTCCTTACAGGGTCATTCAGGAAAAGGCAACAAAAAAAGCCTGTGAACTTTATAAAAGAAGATTGTGGTACACCGTGTCAACATAATAAACATGTTACCATGTCAGCCTCTGGAAAATGTCCAGTTCACTTCAGAAACATGGAGTCAGCCACTAAATTTTTAACATCCATACATAGGGCTGTGTCACAATGGCAGTGTGTGATGATGCTTCAGGTATATAATATATAGCCTGTATTCCAGCTCTTAAGAAAAAATGCAAGCATGTTAATCCTGTTTATAAGTTGAGAGTAACACAAGTATATGGTGGCTATATGCTAATAAAGGGAAAAATTCATTAGCCATTTACTTCCAGAATTAAATATTTCAGTTGCTTGAAACCATTAATAGCTTTAAAAGTTTTGATGAGCTTCGATTAATAATAATATTTTATGTAATCAGGTAATGATAGTGACCAGGTACTTCAAAATAGTGGTTAGCTGATCGTAATTGTCCACAGGGAGATTAGATGTGGATAGATGATCAGAATTAGCTACTACTTGTATAAAGGCTGGAAAGGACAAACAAAACAATGAACCTGACCCTTGTTGGGATTTTTAAGCCCGATAATATTATGGTTTACTCCAGACAGCTATAGCAATAGTTAGATTAATGTGCTTTCTGCACCCGTTGCACTGTTTTTGTTGTTCCGTGTGTTAATACATAATTATAAGCAATCTATTTTTTCAAGTTCATCTAGTAAAAGAGTTTACATATATTTGCATAAGTACTCTAGCACTGAACTGAAATATATTTTTCAACAATGTGGAATTCTTAACTTAGTTAATGTAGAATACATTTTTTTAAAAACAGTGTTTCTCATTACTGTGAGAGTTACTGATTTATACAAATTTTACCTCAAATGTGCATATGCTAGTGTCACAATTTCTGAGCTGTTTCTGTATTCTGAAAACTAAGTATTAAAAGTTGTTTTTCCATTAAAATACTTCTGGAGAGTTTCCTTTAGAAAATAAGAATTAAAAATAAAATATTTTAAAAAAATAATTATTGTTGCATAATTGAAGTTCTAATATTTAGACATAAGAGGGGTTTTTTCATAAAATCTAAATATAAAAGAAAGTGAAAAATAATTATTGGAAGTTTTAACTTTCTTGGTTTTTACTTATCATTTTTACCATTAGCATCATTTATTTTTTTATTTTATAGTGGGTGAAATGAGCAAATTCATAAGAATTTTATTACAGATAAAAGTCAGGAGTTACTGCTTGAAAACAAACATATAAGAGATACTTGACAGGAGTAAGAAACGGAAGTTAGAACAGATGGGCTGACAACACCCTAAATAACAAGGAAAGGGGTGCTAAAAGGGAGAGGAAATGAACAAATGACAACTCAGAATATCAACTGAGAAATATCAAAGTAAGCACTACATGGATAAATATTTAGATACTGAACTCTTGTGATCCTTGTCACAGTACAGATCATTTAATGGTAAAAGAGCATCGGAAGGGTGGAAAATACAAAGCTATAGAATTGACAGAACTAAAATCTAATACCGTTTCACAGCAGTTTAGACATGTGATTTGTAACAAATTATTCAAACTTCCTAGACTTCCATTCTCACCTCTCCAAAATGGGAATAATAAAATTTGGGTTAGAAACACTGTATAAATTAAGATAATATGATTCATGAAGCTGTTCCGAAAAAGGGAAGTCTGGGTGCTCTTAAAAGCCTGATGATTTGAAAGATTCCCCGAAAGCACTTGAAAAGTGTTTATTTCAGTGACCATTGCCCCCTCAAGTTTTACATTTCTGCATCCATGCTAAATGTAAAGCTATTAATGGTTTAAGCAGTATCCCCAAGACAGCATGCGTGGCTTCAAGGTTAGGATTTGAATCCACAATTTAGGTATCTTGGTTCCCCGGCAATATTCAGATCTTTACACTTCATACTAACTGTACTTTACTCAATAAAAGATTACCATGTGTTAGCCAGGGTTTGAATGAGGGGTGATTTGGTTCCAGATTCTGTGTAATAGCACAGTGCCAAACTGCCTTTCAGGCTATGTTTGTTAACTATTCTTCTTCTTGGTCACTGATTTTGTTTAACTTCATGGATATATTTGAGCCTTTTACTACTAAAAGTAATCTTTTTTTTTATCTCTTTGGCCATATTACAGATTTAAAAGTTTGGCGCTTTGCTATTAGTTGTTTATTATTATTATTATTATTATTATTGCTGCTATCATTTTTGAATCACCATGAGAACAGTTACAAAAATTTCATGTTTGAGTTTCGGTCATACAATGCTTAAACACCCATCCCTTCACCAGTGCACATTTTCCACCACCAAAAACCACAGTATATCCCTCATCCCATCCCTACCCCTGCCTGTGTGGCATATAATTTCCACATTACTCTCTACTTTGATTATATTCAATATTTTGACACTAGTCCCACCATTATTATTTGGAATTTTCCCTCAACACTCAGACCTGCCAAAAAGGCAACATTAGACAATTTGTTTTGCATTGCTGATCAGCATGTGATGTCACACAGCCGCTCCTGTGGCCACGCAGTCTTGGAATTCTAAAATTTTAATAATTAGGGTCCGGAGCAATTTCTATCAAGAGCCGCTCAGTTCTGAGATTCTTTTGTGTGTCTCTGGGATCATGGTCGTTAAGGAGCTTAATCAGTAGTTGGGGGCCATTTGTGGGCATCATCTCAGTGTCCTATTGGGGCGGGGGAGGAGGACTGACTCCTCCCCTATCCCATGAGGCCTGGTGTGTGTGTCAACACTTCTGGCCTGTACCTGGGTTTTCCAGTGAAGTCTGGGAGATGGCGGCTGCCAGGTCTGGGGAACAGACGGCAGGATAGCACCTGCTCCCGTCTGGAGTGGCCTAGAGAAGGTGGCCTAATGCAATATCCAGAAACATCTCTGCCAAGAGCCACTCGCTTTTGAGATTCATTTGTGTGTCTCCTTTGTCATTAGTTTTGTAGAATTTTTTTTCAGACTATCTCTACTTAAAAATTTTCATGAAGTAAACAAGTACTAAGAACTCTAGAATTTGGTATGATTCATCCTCATTGCTTCTCTGAATCAATCCCGAGTCATTTAGTAATGATAACTAAATAATCCTGCACCCCAATCTAGTGTTTAGAGGTAGGAATTGTGTGTTTCTTTAGGGGAATGGTATGAGGGGAGGGTCACTGTCCACTGTCCTCCCGTTGTTCCTCGATTTGCTCAAGCGGGCCCAGTAACATTGTGAGACTTGTTACTGTGTTTGGCATATCGAATATGCCACGGGGAGCTTGCCAGGCTTTGCCGTGTGGGAGAGATACTCTCAGTACCTTGCTGGGCTCTCCGAGAGGGGTGGAGGAATTGAACCTAGATCAGCCACATGCAAGGCAAATGCCCTACCACTGTGTTATTGCTCCAACCCCGGGGGGGGGGGGGGGGGAGGGCGGGCCAAATTCAGGGTTACTCACATAGGTTCTCAGGGAACCACTTGGTGCTGGGAATCTAACCAGGATTGACTGCATGAGAGGTAAGCACCTTAACCCCTGGTTCCGCCTCTTCAGCTTCGAGTTTCGACTACTTAACAGTGATCTTCTCCTGACGTCATAATACATATTTACATGTATGTAAATACCCATACTTGTAGTTGGTATTCACTTGCATGTAAATACCTAGCCCTGGAGTTCCTGGTACTGAAATCTGCTTCCGTGCAGAGTCCTGACCTCCCAAGTGCAGCCACTGTATGATCCTGCACCTTTGTCCTGCTCTACTTGTGTTGGTTGGCCTGGTTCTGCATTCCCATTTCATTGGCCACTGCCTTGGATCTATTTCTCTCATCCATGGTTCACCCATGCCCCAACCCTACTGACATCTGATACACCATGCATTTGAATGTCTGCTCTACACTGTGTGAAAATTGCAATCCTTTTAGGCACTTTTAACAGCTAAAATTACTAGCTTTTTAACAGCTAAAATTACTAAAAGTAAACACTAGTGTTTTTTTAAATTTTTTAAATTATTTTAATGAATCATCGTGAGATACAGTTACTTACAGATTTTCATGATTAGGTTTCAATCAAACAATGTTCAAGTACCCATCCCTCCACCAGTGCCCATTCTCCACCACCAATGTTCCCACTGTCCCTCCCGCCACCCCCCACCTCTTCCTCTCCCCCCCCCCCCACCCCCTGCCTCTGTGGCAGACACATTCCCTCTTACTCTCCTTTTGTGTTATGGTTTGCAACATAGGCATTAAGCAGCCATCATGTTTGGTTCATAGCCAATTTTCAGCACATATCTACCATCCCAAGTGATCCCTCCAACCATCATTTCTTAGTGGTATCTTCTCCATCCCACCTGCCTTTTCCCCCAGCATATGAGATCTGCTTCCAAGTCATGGGGCCACCCTCCTGACCTTTATCTCTACTATCCTTAGGTAAGCACTAGTTTTGTTTTGTTTTGTCTTGTTTTTTATTTATTGAATCACCATGAGAACAGTCACAAAGCCTTTCAGTTCAAGTCTCAGTTGGTCATACAATGATCAAACACCTGTCCCTTCACCAGTGCACATTTTCCACCACCAAGAACCCCAGTATACCCCCCCTCCCACCCACCCCCTGCCTGTGTGGCAGATTTCCACTTTACTCTCTCTCTCTACATTGATCACATTCAGTATTAGGACAAAAGACCCAACATTGTTATTTGGAATTTTCCCCAACATTCAGACCTGCCACAGAGACATCATTAGATAATTTGTTTTCTACTGGTGATTATGAAGAGCATATGATGTCATGTGGCCACAATAGCGGTCACACAAATTTGGATTTCTGATATTTTTGTAATAAGCCTAGAGGGATTACTGCCAGAAGCCCCTGGTTTCCAAGATTGGTATGTGTGACCAGGAGCTTCTACAAGCATGGCTCTGGCATGTGGGTACCAGGACTGTTTTCCGAACCATGCAGCCACTTATGCAGCCACACAACATTTCCTGATATGCAAAGTGATCAATGGAAAGTAAATGATCTAGCATTTGTCCCTGAAAAACAGGCTTGAATGGTGATGGGTACATCTGAACAAAATATAATGCCCAACCGAAATGCATCTGGACTGTGTATTTAACTATGGTGCTATGCCAACCTGGGAGGGGAAGGGTGTCTGTCCCTCTGCCTGTGCCCCTGCATCTTTTAGAGCCTAATGAACAGCCAGGTATGAGACTGCACTGATGAGGCATGTGGGGCTTCATGGGATGGGGGGTGGAATCGGCCATGCTTCCCGCCATGACAATGCTAGGAATGCCACCCTCAAATGCCTCCTCTGGTTTCTGACCAACCGTAAGCACTAGTTTTTAACAGTTAAAAGTATTTGCCCATAAACCCTTCTGTACTTTTTAAAATCCTTTGACTTACCTAGAATTCTTGAAATTACATGTAAAAAATGAACAATGGGAGGACAGTGACAGTGACATGTGAAAATTCAGATTTCTTTGGGCTGGAGTGATAGTACAGCAGGTAGGGTGTTTGTGTTGCACACTGCCAACCCGGGTTCAATTCCCAGCTTCCCATATGTCCCCTGAGCACCGCCAGGAGTGATTCCTGAGTGCAGAGCCAGGAGTAACACCTGTGCATCGCTGGGTGTGACCCAAAAACAAAAAAAAATCAGATTTCTTCTTTTAGTGCTTGTTATTAAACAATATTTTGTTACATATTACCTTCATAGTGTTGGCTACCCACCTTGATCTCAAAAATGCACTTGGGGCCAGTGAGGTGGTACAGCAGGTCAGAAACTTGCCTTGCATCCAACCAACCTCGGTTTCATCCCCAGCACTGCCTATATCTTCAGCACAACAGGTGTGGCCCAAAAATTCTAGAAGAAAAATGTATATATGAATTTAATTTTTCCTACAGCTGAAGTCAATGCCAACACTTGAGGAACTCTGCTTCCTATTCAGTGAACTGAATAATGCCCCGTGGTGTTCGAATCACTAGAACCTGAGAATATCATCTTA